TCGGATATCAACTTATATCGCACTTTCAAACGTTGAACTGCACTCACCAAACGACAAATACCCGCTACTTTCTCCACTCTTGGATGTTGCATCTCTTTAAATAACCAATGACCCACAACTTCCACCATTTGTGCAACGATTGCTTCTTCTTCTCGATCCAACAACGATAACAGAAACAAACTGGCTGCATATCCTACACTTCCAGTAGATCCTTCCTTTCTATTCCAACCGATATAATGTTCAATGATCGTTGCAATCCAGGAAGGTGTTTTGTGTTGACTTAAAACAATTACCGCTTGAGCTACACAAGGAAAAGTATCCACCAAATCATGTAATACATAAAACATTGTTTTACAACACGCTGGATGAACTGCTTCGACACTCCAATCGTACTTGTGAGCCCAAGTCTTATCCCACTCTTCTTCATCCACTTGATTCTTCGGCTCCAACAACTCCCACAAATGTTGCAATACTTGTCTCAATCGAAAAGAAATGGAATAGGTATCACGGAATTGCAAAGCATCTTGTGTAGTTGCTGTCTGAGATAATTCCAACTTGTAGCCATTGCCCACTTTCTTCACGCTAGTCATTCTTGCCAATGCTTTCAAATAAACGACAGGATTCTTGGCAATCATGGGCAACGAATGAACAATCAGAAAGCTAGGGTTGACCAAAGAACGTGACTTCAAAATATATCGAATGGAATCTTTCATTCCATCTTCTAAAACTTGGGCATCCTGCACAAGATTTCTTACCAGTCCTCGAAAACTGAACAATGATGAAGATACTTGCAACGAATTGGACTCATCTGACTCCTTCACGGCAATCCATCTTATAACATTTTTCGAAAAGAGAACATGTAAACCACCTCTTTCTATGAATCGGTTCACCATCACTTCCTCTTCTGTCAACGCCGCAAGCAACTGAACACAGCCTTGTACTGTTGTATCATGTACATTATTTTTCATTTGATGCCAAGGAATACGTAATAGTGATATGCAAGCATCCATCAAGCGATCACAATTGACTTGTGGTAACTGCAACATGGTGGTCCATTGAGAAGATACATTACGAGAAGATGCAAGAATATGTTCAACTACTCGTTCTTCAATCTTCTTTTCATCCATTTCTTCTGTTTCCTTTGTCAACAATGAAGATCCTTCATCCACTTGATTGGCAAGCGTACGAAACAATGCATCCATCTTGGGTTGCGCAGCTTCCATAGGATTCTCCATATGGACAGTATTATTTGCTATTATACTGGTTGGTTGATGAGAATCGCCAGCAAGTTGTTCGTTATCTATCCAATCTTGGACCTCCAACAATCTGTCATTGGAATAAAAGGCCAACAAACTGTTCAATAACAGTAAACAGGCACACAACTTGTCTTCTTGTAATCCCATATCAATCATCGGGCATTCTCCGACAGTCGATTGGATGACCGATGGGCGACTCTCAGAATGAACAACTGGCAATGATTCCCATGGAGAAGCAACTTGTTCAATAAACGATGCCGCATAATAAGCAACATTTTGCTGTATAAAACATTGTCTTGCCTTTTTTCCTAAATGTTGGGTACACAAAATGGCACATTTGAGAACAATCAAATCTGCCTGACTCCATTCTTCACTATCCTTTTGTATAGATTGCACTGTCCAATTGGCCAACATTTTATACTCACTTTCTATCGTTTCATCGTTTTCCTCTTTTGTACGCAATGCTCGTAATATCATCACGAAAACAAATGATGAATATTCTCCACAATTGCCACTCAACAATGCCTGGAAACAAGTTTTCAGAGTCTCACCAAATAATTGAAACTTCCTTTTGAGTTCTTCCGCCGAACATTGACATTCCGGAACAAAGTCAACTTGTAACTCCATCGATATGCCCAACCCTGCACAAGTATCCGATATCATTGTGTCGATTTTCTCTTCCCCGAGTTTCGTTCCTATCAAACAGGATCGCAATTGACTCATTTCCTCAGCAACTACTTTACAACTCCACTGGAAATATCTTTCTTGCAATGAAATATTCTCTTCTGTATAACTTGATGAAAACATCGATTCGGAAGGTTCCATAGAAGAGTCATCCATATCTTGTGGCGATACTCCTTCACTGGATTCTGGTACCTCTTCTTCAATAGGTTGACTAGTTGACTCTTCTTCTTCTTCTTCTTCTGGTAATGATAAAAGAACTTCCATTGCATATTCCAATCTTTCCGTATTAGCACGTCGAACAGCTTCAATGGCTCTTCTTCTGGAAAATCCCATTTCTACTAATTGTGCAACCAATGGACTTTCCGTAAACCGTTGTTGAATGCGAAGATTTCTGATTCTTCTAGCTGAATTGTGCTGCCTAGAAAATTCTTCTTGAGTTTTCAACAAACTAGGCATCTGATTCTTCATCTCTTGAAATAGATAAACAATATAAATGTACTCATCAAACATCAATCTACTCGAAGCAGGATAACTTTTCAATTCATTTCCAATATTGCTTTCATTCAAACAGCCACAAAGCCAACCAAGCAACTTGAAAATATCCAAAAACATCCATCTCATGATAGGATGATAGTCTCGGTCATTATGATTTCCTCGATGATTGTTGTTGGCAGCATCGGAGAGTATTCGACCGCTATGAGTAATCAAAAGATGAACCAACTGAAGAACTCCACTAGACAAATTGAAACATACAGTGGATGCTACTAAAGCTGCCGAAGAGTGTACGCTGTATCTTCTCAACAAAGATTGCGAATCTAAAAGAAAATGTTTCTGAGTGGAAACAAAACTTCATCAGATATCTTAAAAGGACAATCATCCGAATGAATATC